TTAGTATTTTCTTCCTTCCATTTATTTTAGTTTCAATTTGCTTTTATTTTTCTAACTTTTTGAGGCTGGAGCTTAAATCACTAATTTTAGACTTTTCTTTTTCTCTAAAATAAACACCTGAAACCATAACTTTTTCTTTGAGCACTCTCACTGATCCTATCTTTATTTAAAATATTGATAGTTTGTCTACCATGAATTTTTTGGCATAATTTTGATTTAAAAAAATATTGCTTCAAAGTATTGTCTTCACTACTTAGTTTGTTAGTGCCATTTACATTTTGCACTTGAGGCAAATGTCTCATTATCTCACCTCTCCCCATTCCATCTTATCACAAGAACCAGTGGTCAGCCACTGGCCTGAGTGAGAGAAGGCCTGGGAACAGCCCGTGGCAAGGCCTGGCTCTGGAGACACAGCTGAGCCACTGTGGGATGTTATCCAGAGGCTTGGTAAGCTCAGTCACTCGCTCAGGGAAGCCTTCTGAGAGGTGGGTGCTCTGCATCACAGGGAGTCCATAGTGCCCAGGAGTTTATCAGGGACCCATAGCCATGGTCAAGAAAGCCCATCATACAAGGTGGCCTGCAGAGCCAGTGGGAGTTGGCCAGGGACTTCTCAGACCGAGGGAAAAGCATAACAAAGGCCCGGGGGCTGGAAAGAGGAGGCAGTGTTCAGGGAATTGCTAATAGTTCAGGCTGTTTGAAGATAGGACATGAAGGCAAGGGATGACAAGGGAGAAGGTTTTCAGGAGCCAGATCGAGAGGAGCCATTCACCCCATGCTAGGACATGGGTATGAAGAATCAGCTTTGGAATAAGGGAGTAGAATGATCAGATTTTAGTTATGATTTTAGGATGACCACCCTGTGTACAGTGGGGCAGATGGGTTGGAAGGGAGAAGGGTTAGAGGCAGTGTAGCCAGTTTTAAACTTCTAAAAATAAACAAACAAACAAATAAAAAACACACACACCACAAAACACAACAACAAAAACTGATGAGAGATAATGATGCATGGATTGTGGTCATCCTCCACAGTCAGCTCCCAGCATTCCTATGCTAATCCTGGTCAAAACACAGCAACAATAAAAACCAATGAGAGATGATGATGGCTGGGTGATGGGAGCAGTCATTTGAATGGAAGAGAAGAAACGGGCTTGAGAGCCATTTCAAGGGCGATGTGGACAGGGTGATGGCTTAGAGACTGGTGGTGAGGAAGTGGGGGAAGACTAGGTAGGTCTCCGGTTCCCAGCGTTAGAGGAGGAGACGGTTTGGGGAGGAAGACAGTGTATAAGAGCATTGCTCCTGGAACAAGGTGGTGCTACCTGATGCGACAAAATGGTGTAAGTGAGAGGACCCAGCAGGCATATGTCAGCTTGTCCGGTGACGGCTGCAGAGACACCTTGAAGAAGCCTGCCTTAGCTGAAGGGAGGGACCCTCCCAACTTTTATAGTAGAAGACACAAGTGCAAAAAAAAAAAAAAAAAAAGAAGACAGACACGTAATTATGAAATTTATCTAATAGTCAAGCACTTTCAAATGTTGGGAAATCAGCAAGCTCTTCAGCCCTTGGGAAGTGAAGCCCAGTACATGATTAACTTGCCTCTGACCATTTGGAAACCAAGGTTACAACCAGTGGAGACAATTTCCAAAAGAGAAAACTCCTATTCTCTACCCTGAGAACCAGGAATCCTCTCAGAAGTCATGAGATGTGTGTGTGTGTGTGTGTGTGTGTGTGTGGCTTGTATGAGCAGAAGAGGCAACACACTTCACAGGTGGCAGATTCGTGATGGGGCAGGGCAAGGGGAAGCACACATGGTTCTGTGTGGATGTGAGGCAGTGAGTCTTGTGCTAGCAGATGTGGCAGATCTTTACGCACATGTACACAGTGCACAGGGAGGTGGACTGTTGAGAGCAGGAGTTCTCACAAACTCAACAAGGGAAGACCAAGAATGATAGAGAGAGGGGTCCTTGGGACTGGAAAACACATGTGGGACATTCAAATATACCATGTGCTGAGCAGTATAATGGAAGTGTTACATTCAAATAAAGGGGTAAAAAACTTGAAAAATATTCAGTGTTGTGGAAGGATAGGGACTTTTGCATGAAATTTTAACCATTAAGCTTGTTTGTTTGACATTTTTGAAGATAGGTGAACAAAGGCAAGGACTTCTGGGAAGAGGGCTATGGCTGCCAGGAGGCCATGTTTTCAGCCCAGAACCCAATGCTGCTGTGACGGTTCCTGTAGTCACGGCCCCAAAGCCATGGTGTGGTGAAGGCAAAGTTGTCTTATGTCTGGGACATGGAGAGCTCAGTCCTCAGCCAAAGTCACCCGCTACGGCAAGCGGATGCTTGAGGTAAAAGCAGAAAATAACACATGTCTGAGAAATGCCGTGCAGGTTAGGATGAGCTTTGTCGCTACATCCCAGGTCACTGTGCACTTTCTGGAAATCATTGTGGTGGGTTTTCCCCCCAAAAAAAGCATCTGAAAAGTTAACTTCCTGCTCTGTAACCAACGTTTCTTATTGCCAGCTGCTATATGCTCACTCAAAGAGCAGTCTTGCCATCACTGAGAATGGCCAGCCAATGAGCCAAGGTTCCAAAGAGCAGGTTCCCAAGGAGACACTGGAAGCTTGGGACTGTGGCAGCCATGTGTCTACGTGTGCTTCCTGTGGCAGCCACCTGTCTGTGTGTGCTCCTATGGCCTCCATGTGTCTGTGTGTGCTCCTATGACCGCCATGTGTCTGCGTGTGCTCCTGTGGCCGCCATGTGTCTGCGTGTACTGCTGTGGCAGCCACCTGTCTGTGTGTGCTCCTGTGCTCCTGTGGCAGCCACGTGTCTGCGTGTGCTTCCCCAGACAAGTGCTCCCAGGATGAAGGCGGTCCCTTGTGCTTGGCTCTGCCCTGTGGATTTAAATGGCTGTGTTGCTTTACAATGGCCCCCACATGGTGTCTTCAGGCTTATGTAATTATGTTTTCTTTCTTTTAATCCATCAAAGTAAACGAGCTATGGAATGTAAAGGACTTTGGTAGGCAGTGAGGTGCTGAGAGATTGCTGTTAAATAACGGCTTGATCTTTAATTGTTGGCTAGAATGAAATGATCAATAGATCATCAAGGCCAAATTTTTGTATTAAAAGAGGGGCAAGGCACGGATTTCAGTTCTTTTCTTTGATGAGAAAAGAAGCAAAATGCAGTCCGTTCGGCACTGATGGAAACTAACATTGTAAGTTCTTAGGATGGAGCCATTTCCAAATGACTGTCGTTAGGACCATCGGAAACAGCTATTGCGAATGTGTTTGCCTCTGAGCTCTCTCAGGAAATACTGGCTTCGTCTCCACAGGGCACCACAACAGCACCATCTCCACTCCAACAAAATCAACACACTCAAGACTGTGGAGGCTTTACTGCATTTATATTTCCTATGTTTCACAGATTAGAGTGATTCCACATATTAGAAAAGAACAGTGATGGTGATCAGATGGAAACAAGAAAGGGTTTGACAAACAGAGGTATGGGTTTGTAGACCATGAGGGTACATCACTAAAGCTGACATGGGATGTCTGGGCTCAGCGCTGACAATGTGCATACCAGTCAGCGTGAGATTTCCAACATGCGCCCCACAGCAGCTCAACCGTGAGAAACACAAGCCACTGTTCTGCTAACGGCAAATCCAAGTTAAAGACCAGTTTTAAATCTGAGGAAAGCAAGGACACTCTCATGTCACGGTAGAACGATCAGACGGCGATATATGGCAGGAGACCGAGGCCCAATCCAGGCTCTGGTGAGAGAACACTGCCCGGCTTTGCCAGGAGTGGGACTCTTCGCTTGCAAAATCTGTGTGTGACTTGGGATGTTAATCTTCATAACAGTCCCTTGCATTCCATTAAGTGGTGTTTTGGAGTGGGTCCTTTTGGAATCGAGCAGTCTGTTTACCAAAGCGTTCTTTTCTGCAACTTACAATTCCATGACACCCTACAGAAATAATTCTTCCTAAATAGATCCAAGTTGGCTGTTACCCTGCCTTCCTCTCCTGGCTGCTACTTTACACTCTGGCAGCGCGCAGACACAGCTTCCTCTGTGATCTGGAAGTTTGTTTTTGTAAAAAGTCCCCGGTACAGTCATACTTCCTGCAGCAATTTGTTTTAATACGACATCCTTACTCTTGAGGTTTGATTGCAGATGAAAAATGTAGTTAAATTTCAGTGAATGAAAAAACAAAAGCATTTCTTTGAACTCCTCTCCAAATACCTTCTTGGAAGCTCTTTACTTTTTAAACAATATGAAGGACATTTGCAATCTCGACAATAGTAGTACCAATAAGCCAAAAAGATCACATTTCTTAGCTCAGAGTCAACAACTTCTGACTTTTTTAGGGGGAAATAAGTACTCTATAATCAATTGTAGGAGCTCCATTGGACTCTAATTTTGAGGGGATTCTACCCTTAACTTGAGTGTTTTGGGGTATCTTAAGGGAGTGGGAAGGGTTGATACTAGATAAGCTTTGACCTCAGATAAAGAGCACAGTGAAGCACTACATCATGAAATGAGAGCTGCTAAGCAAAAACCTTGGGGATGGACTTTCATGCTATCTCCTTCATCTTTGGTTTTGCCCATCCGCAGTTGGTCAGGATCACAAAAGCCAGGGCCTGATTCTCCAACTGGGGGTTGGGAATGAGGGCTCTGGCATGCCATATGGAGTGGAGCTCTGAGCCCAACACTAGAGTCTTCTCCTTGATGGATGGGCTCAAATAGCATTCTGCTCTATGCTCACAGACTGTATCAAAGGCCCCAATGATTGGTTGAAATTTATTTTATTAATTGAGCAAGCCAAGAAAAAAAATTTTGGAATACCCCCTTTCTCTACTACCAGTGGTATGAAAACTATAGCTTCTAAAGCAGTGGTTCTCAATCTTCTTAATGCTGTTGCCCTTTAATACAGCTCCTCATGTTGTGGTGACCCCAACCATAAAATTATTTTTGTTGCTTCTTCATAACTGTGATTTTGCTACTGTGAATGAATTGTAATGTAAAATAATTTGATGGTTGGGGGTCACCTCAACATGAAAAACTGTATTAAAGGGTCACGGCATTAGAAAGGTTGAGAACCATTGTAAGGAAGGGACATTTGTTCTTTGCTCTTCTAGAGAAGGGCATAGTTTGGGATTCTGTGAATACTTTCTGTAATTCTGGCAGCGTTAGCAACTAAATATACAAGACATCCAGTTACATGTGAAGGTTTATTTTCTAATTGCCTATGCAATTTTTAATTTATTGACAAAAATAAAGATAGGACATTTAGAACATCTCAATAAAGTCCATCCAGAATGCAGTACAGGAGATGTGTCTTGCATTCACAGCAAGTCTGGTATTCCTAATTCTGGGATTATAGTCAGAGTTATATGGCATTTACATACATAGATGACATCTTAGGCGTCTGTAAGCACGTATCAAAAATTATGTCCTGCTCAGCCAGCATGGCTCAATGGTTGAGTGTGGACCTAAGGACAAGGAGATCATGGTTTGATTCTTAGTGAGGGCACATGCCCAGGATGTGAGCTCAATCCCCAGTGTGGGGCATGCAGGAGGCAGCTGATCAATGATTCTCTCTCATCATTGATGTTTCTATCTCTCCATCCCTCTCACTTTCCCTCTGAAATCAATAAAAAAAGATATGTCCTTATTTTGCACAATCAATTCTTGTAATTTTATTAGGAATTACCCATCACTTCTAATCAAGAGCTTTTTCTTCGTCTTCTATGTTTATACACCAGCAACATAGCAATTGGAAAAAAAAAAATTCCTGTCCCCAATTTTTGAGCATCTACCGTGAACATCCCAGGATTATGATTTTTGGATTGATTACTTTAAACCCACAGGATTATCTGACTTGATGGAATGGACAGCCAGGATGGAACAGCCAACCACCACACATCAAGTGGAGGGGACACCAAGTTCCCAGGAGACAGACAGAAGATGAGAATGAAGGGAAAGGGCTGAAGCCTTATTTCTGCCTCGTATTTTGTTGTTAGTCAGCATTTAGTGGAAAAACTTTGGGGGGGGGGGTGGGCATTGAACTTAATCCATCGATGTTTCTGAAAGACTGTGGAAATTGGTCCTCCTGGGAAGGCTGAGAATGTAATGTCAGACAGTTGTAATGTAAGATGAGTGGCCAAACTTTGCCTGCAAAGAAGTTCTTGCCTACTGGGAGAAGGGCTTACATGAGAGCTGCTCAGTCAACCCCTAGCTTTCCATTTTTACACTTTTCTCACTGTCTTCCTTATTTTTCAATGATGATGGTGAAGATTTTGTTTTATATTCTTTAAAAAAATCAGAACATCATAATAAGAAAAAGTTTACTGACAAATACCAGTACCTCAAGAAGTTAACTCTTTTCATCTTTAAAATATCAGTTAGGTTCTCACATATCAGTTCATTGCACATTCTAACTGTGCAGACTCTTGGCTCTGCTCTGAGGCCCTTCAGGCTGAGAACCAACAGCCACCACTCACTGCGGAACCCAGGCCCAGGGTTTGGTTGATTGGCAGGTCATTCTGATTAAAGATAAACTAAAACTCTCAAAGGACAAAATGTGTGCAGTTGATTCATTAGAAATGAAATGTCAAGCTTTGGACCTTCAAGTGTACATCTTCCCAGGGGAAGAACATCAATTGCACCTTGGACGTACCCTGGGTCAAATGTAGGAAGTCGGGTGCGCGCTACAGAGCTTGAAAACCAAGACTGAATGTTGATGCCTCTCATTAAAGAGTCCCATCCCACGGAGCTATGATGAGATAACCAGGATTCAAAACTAGTTATTTCAAAGAAAAGCTGAGATTGAAACACTGTAAGGCTCCCTATGTCACGTGATCAAAAGTTTAACCTTAGACCATGGTGACAAGACAGAGAATGAAGGCCAAGGGTGAGATGATCTTTACCGAGCTACCAGGCCAAAGGCCCTGTGCCTTCTATGCCTTGCTTTTCTATTTTCTTCTTCCTCCAGGTGATATAGGAGGACTGAGCATCTAAGCAAGAGATAAGGAATCATACTGTAATAGAAGTGTCACGTCTCTACACTTTACATTTTAATGATTGTGAAATCACAGTGAAGTAAAAATTGAAAATTGAATTCAATGGGCTGTTTAAATGCATCTAAATATCTGGTCCACTCACTGATAGCATCTCCTCCCCACCCCCCACTTTTGAACCAGCTATTTCAATTTCTGGTTTCCTCTCTGAGCTGTAACATCCCCATGAGTGGAGCAGGGAACCCCTGGGTGCCTCCACCCCATCCCAGTGGTGGCCCACTGTGAGGGCCAATGAGGGAAACTTTGCTATGCTTCTGGGACCACTGGCTGCTGGGTACCATTCAGTATAACACATCTTATTTCTGAAATAAGACATGGCTTTGTGATTTCTCTGATGGAACACAGTATTTTTGAATGGTCTCACTGAGAAGGCCTGGTGCATTAGAAATCCTTAAAGACACAAAAGCCTTTTTGGGTCAAAAACACTCCACTAGTTGACTTCTTAGTTGCGGGGGGTAGAGGGGTGTGTTCAGGCATGAATATATTTCAGTCACAAGACTGTTCACATAGAATCAGTTTGCCATCAGAATCCTTTCTTTGTTAGCATTAGAGTCAACATTAGTGTTTTGTAGAAAGTAATAATAAATATCACTGGAAAATGCTAAGTTTCAAACCAGCCACGACTTTAGAGCTATGTATGAAAAACCACACTGTAATATCACTTATTGACTTCCACAAGTATTGGCTTTTAAGACACTGCATATTTATTTTGTGTGTAGTGCGAAAGATTAGGTGATCAAGTCTTACAAATTTGGTTGAAGTAGATTGCCAAGTGAACATAAAAGAGATTTTTCTATCCTGTGCTACATCATTGTACCATATACAATATAAGCATGTGAGATTCCTAACCTTGGTCACATTCCAAGTGACATTGATGGCAATACTGTGAGAAGAATTTACTTGTGCGACGGAAGATCTGTAAACATGCCCCTGGCATTATTCTTCTGCCAATTATACTACAACATACAATAAAAAAGCACACATCACAACGAAAAGGGGTCACATCTAAGTACACATAATTTTTTTAAGATCTAAGATAAACTGCCATAAAGTTATCAACAGAAACAGAGGAAAACTTCCTGAATAATAAGACAAAACCTCTTGTGCATTGAGATTGTTCTTTGAACCTTTACGACTTTACCCCCATTATTCTGGCCCTGCAATAGATGGGCTGCTCCAGGTCAGTGGTGTTAGCCACATGTTCTGCTAAAAGGACATTTGAAATCTGGTGACATCAAGAGATGGCCACACTTGTGGTCCATGTCACCCGTTCACCAAACAATCTGAATCCCAACCACTTTCCCCATTTCCTCCAAGTCCCAATGTTTCCCATCTCAGAGAACAAAATTTTAATTGCAAATGTCTTTCATTTAAGAGCTAGGGTGTGCATCCCTGTGTGTGTGTGTGTGTGTGTGTATTATATGTGTGTGTCACATGCATGTGTGTGCCTGTGTCTGTGTTGTTTGCATGCCTGTGCCTATGTATGCATGTATATATACATATGTGGCATCTACATACTTATAGTCACAATTTTCTTGAGGGAATATGCAAATCCATCTGTTTCGAATGAAGTGAGAATTCACCTTTAGCACATTTAGCCAATTGTTGCCCATATTTTCTCTACTCCAAAGACATTCAGGGTGCCTGGTCCCCAAATTCTGCCAAAGGCAAATGTTACCTTTGTAACACTGAGTTGCACAAGCTTTGTTTAAATACTGAGGACATTCTTGACATGTTATCAAATTATCAAATTTTGTTTATGCTTCCAGGAGTGGTCTGTGTATGAATTATTCATCCTCAGCCATTCCCCTTCCTCGTGACTCCACCTGGCCTGCTAGATTTCACCATCGGAGCACACATCTGACCATGGCACAACTTCATTTTCCTGTGGTTCTAACCATCATCAACAACCAGGTACTTAGCACGAATGAGTCGACCATTACTTACAAGAGTTTTATTTTGCTCTCGGAATGTCAGTGGCACTTCCTCTGTGGACAGATATTTTAATAGATCAGGGATGAAGCGGCTGAAAGGAAGCTTGGTGCACAATGATGAACCGAAGGACAGATCTAGAGGCCACCTGGACAGGGGACCCTCACTGCCCCGCAGCTTCTGAGGTTACTCTGAATGCACTGCCTAGAGAGAAGCTTTCCAAACTCCTGTGTGCGTGAGTCCGTGGGGGCCTGGCGACCATATAGATTTGAGTCTCTAAGTGAGGTAGGGCCTGGGCCTCCATGTGGCTAATAAGTTCTTGAGGGGCTGATGCTACTGGCCTGGGAGCCACATGTTGAATAGGAAGGGGCTAGTACATTCCAGCAAAAATTAGTGCGGACAACAGCCTAGTTCCATCTGTACATGTTCTCACAACTGGTAATTCCTGATTGACCGATTCCGCGCTGCACAATTAAGTCCACTGGGAAAAGGCAGAAGTGGAATCATTATGTTTTGTGAATATAGACTCCCCCTGCTCCATTTGCTGTATTAACAAATAGCCTCCAGAACATACAACATTTTCTCTGCTTGAAAAGAGTTTAAACAATGATGTGAGTGAACACTGAACCACATTTCAAGGCCATAATGCCTTTGCTATTGGATTGCATAAATACCTTATATTACAGCTGACGACCTTATAGAGAAATGCCTCCCTTCACTCTCAGCATGCTGGATGTCTGTCCATCCTGTAGGACGTCTGCAATCGCCCTACACCAGTGGCTGGCAAACTCATTAGTCAACAGAGCCAAATATCGACAGTAACAACAATTAAAATTTCTTTGGAGAGCCAATTTTTTTAACTTAAACTTCTTCTAACGCCACTTCTTCAAAATAGACTTGCCCAGGCCATGGTATTTTGGGGAAGAACCACACTCAGGGCGCCAAAGAGCTACATGTGGCTCACAAGTCACAATTTGCCGACCACGGCCCTACACCACGTCCTGCGAAATATAAAAATTTGAACTTTGGGAGTTCGCTTCAGACAAAGCAACTAAACAAGGAGCCCTCTCGAAGGTAGAGAGATTCTTGTTGCATCACCAAATCAAAGGAGAAGATGGATGTTGCCCATCAGGGGAGTGTGTTTAGAAGGTACCCACCCAATTTTGTTCAAAGGAGCTCCGATGTGGGAATGGCCGCAGGGTCAACCGAGGCCAGGGCGCCGCCATCAGACATTGCTCTGCTGTAACAGGAGAGTCCGCAGTTCTCTCTCCCGCTGGTCCTCCTGCCTGTACTTCTCCTCCAGCTTCTGCTTCTCGGAATCCGCGCAGTAAAACGTGCTGTCGGGGCTCTTCCGGATCTGCTCGAACTGGCTGAAGTCAGCCACGTACTTGCCATTCTTGGAGAGAGAGACCACGGGCACGAACTCAAAGCCCCAGTAGATCTCCTCGGGGATGTACGACGTGCGGCTCTGGCACACGGCGCTGGTGGACTCCACGGTGGCGTTGAGGAGCACCACGAGCTCAAAGTCCTTCTCCTTTAGGTTTTGGGGGGTGAGGTCTCTCAGGGGACTGGTCTCATCCAGCACGTGGTAGAAGGTCAAGGGCAAGATGAGGAAGGGGCTCTCGGAAGAGGAGTCCACGTGGAACTTGACGGAGGCCTGGTTGAGGAGGATGCGCTCGCCCTCCTTGGTGACATGGGTCTGCAGGAGCTTGCCGGAGAGCTGGCACTGGATCAGGAGGCTCTTGCGCATGTTGGCCACCTGGATCACCAGGCACATCTTCCCGTTCTGCTTGGTGATGACCGCGCAGTGGCTGAACTTGATGGTCTCCGCCCGCTTCTTGGGCCTGGCGATTTTGGCCAGGAAGGTGCCCGTGATGAAGATCTCGATCAGGGTGGTGATGACCAGCTGGGCGACCAGCAGGAAGATGGCATGAGGGCACTCCTCCGTGATGGAGCGGACGCCGTAGCCGATGGTGGTCTGGGACTCCAGGGAGAAGAGGAACGCCCCCGTGAGCGAGTCCACCTTCATGATGCAGGGGGTGTGGTTAGAGATGGGCACGCTGGGCTCTAGGTCCCCGTGAATGAACGCGATGGCATAGTAGATCACGCCGAAGAGGAACCAGGTCATGACGAAGGTGGCCGCGAACAGGGTGAGCTTGTATCGCCACTTCATGTCGATCACGGTGGTCCACAGGTCCTGCAGGTAGAGCAGGTAGATGCCATCCACCTTGTCGATCCTCACGTTGCTGTGCCCGCTCTTGGACATGACTCGGGGCCTGTCCGAGTGCTTCACCAGGGGAGCGTGGGACATGCTGAGGTGCACGGGGTCCATTGCCGGCCTCCTGGGACCACCTAGGAAGGGTCAAAGAGAGACGTGTTGTCACTGTCACAGGTGGCAGAATGCCCAGCAGCCAGAACCTGGATAAACAGGTGACATGAGCATGAAAGCATGTGGATGGACAGAAGCAAGGAGACTTCTGAAAGCAAGACGGACCCACTTAGACTTGAGGGAGGAGCGTGGCCCTGGAGACAAGCAAACCCGAGTTCAAAGCGGACTCTCCCAGTTATCCGCTGGGTGAGCCGGGACAAGCAATTAACCTCTCTGGCCCTCAGCTCTCTGATCTGTAAAATGAGAATGAAGCCTAATCTTCAGGGTTTTGTGATGGTTAAATGAGATAGTGCTATAAAGGGCCAAAACCGAGCCCCCATTCACCCCCATTCACCCCCATTCACCCCTCTCCCTCCCTCCGCTTCCCCCCCCACCCCCAGTTTAAAATGCGATGCGAATCTTCCCTCTGCGGTACCATACTCACATGCAGCAACCCCACAGGGTGTTAGGCATGCTTCTGTGTATCCGACTACCATCCAATTGTAGAGAATTTAAAAGTAAGTTGGCTAAGCATAGGGTCAGTAGAGATAGAACTAAAATTTACCATCCATAGGTAGTTCTTGATGAGCGACAGAGAATACAAATACAAATTTTTAAAACTTGTAATAAAAATATTTAAAACTTACCCTTTTGCATGGTATTCCCTGAAATAGCCATTTATCACAACCCCCCCGCCCCCCTTCCAATGAGTACTCTAGAATCCACGACCTCTCCTAATCTTGGTTACATCAGAGGAGACTAAGTTATCCCCAGCCAAAAACAAACACGTAGTGAATAATTAAGCTTGACGAATAGCTTCGTCGATACGCCGGTTAATCTTAGAAGTGCTATCAATATCCCGCATCAGGGGTGGCATTTCGGTATGGCACACACATGCTGCCTTGCCTCTTTAGAACTCCGCAGAACCGGCATGGGGATGCACTCGAAAGAGTTAAAGAACAAGTGAGCACGCGCAGGCACGGAGCCGTGGGGCCAGCAGACCTACCGGGAAGCAAGCTGGGCTCCTTCCCTGGCTGCTGGTCCACAGACAGGGACCCGCTGGGGCTGAGGCCACCCAGCCTCTTAAGCACCTGCCCGGGGATTGGGCTGAGTCACCCCTAATTCCTTGGAAAGATAATGGGAGTGATGAGGGGGAACTCTACCTGGCTGGCATGTTTACTTTTCCCACCCCAAATGGCATTGAAAACATTTTTTTTTTTTTTTTAAATCCCTGTGATCAAAAGGAACTGGTATGCAGCGGTCTGTGATTCATGCCATAACCTTGCTTTGGAGCAATGGGACCTGGATCGGAGGTTTGAGAGTCATTCTTAGCAAATCCCGCCAAGGAGGGTGAAAGGGGTCCATCCCAGGCGGCCACGTGGCCCTTCAGTGTTCCTCTCCGTCAGCGGGAGGTTCACTGACTGACTGTCCCCGGAATGACCTGGCTCTTTTCTGAGAAAGGAAACTCATTCTCTCTTGTTATGTCCATGGCAAAGGAGGGCCGTGAGCTGTTCCGGATTTATTTTCCCCACTGAAGCCTGTTCCTCTTACTTGGGGATCCATTTAAAAGAAACGCACAGGGTCTCTCATGGGCGAGCCTGGCTCTGTAGCCCCCCCCCCCCCCCGCTGCAGCCTCCCGTCTCCGTGGCCACGGGGGACGGGACCAGGGGGAACATTACGCTTGGAAGCAAGGCCACACTGGCGTGCCCAAGGGCAGCGTCAAGCTCAGAACTCCCGCTTGTCAGAGACAAGTCACTGCCTGCCCTTAACACACAACCTGCGGGATGGAGCCTGCCGTTCAGGCCGCTGCAATGGAAACGGAGGCTGCAGATGGGGGTGTGAGGGAAACATGGGGTCCCGCGGGCACAAGCAGCTACCGGGAAGCCTGGCCTGGGGTGTGTGGAGGCTGTGCCATGGAGCTCCAGCCTTAACCTCTCCCCTGGGGCAGCGGGCCAGCAGGAAGAGCTGCATCCGCTTCCTCCCCCTGTTCCTGCAGGCCTGTGTCCACGTCACCGACCCACAGCGCCGCCTAGCGGCCCCGAGCGTGGCCGGGGCAGGAAGTCCTGGGGCCTCTGGGCCTCGGGGTCAGCATCTCTCCATGCAAAGGAGCAGCGGGGGGACAGCACTCCGAGGGGACCCCTTCGGCCTCCGCTCTGCACCCCGTGCCCCCCGCGCTGCTGGCTGCTGGCCACTTACTCAGCAGGTCAGAAGCCGTCTTCTTGAGGGCGGGCGCACCGTCCTGGCTCCCCTTCGCCCACCTGGCCACCATGGGGCGCTGCTCCTGCCTGCAAGAGAGAGGGACACGTGGGGTTCGCAGGTGTTCCCAAAGAAGCTGGCCCAGTGAGACGGACCCTCCTCAGCCCCACTCCCCCCACCCCCAGGGCTGGGCCCAGCATTCCTCCCGGACCCTGGCAGGCTGGCTTGGTGCCAGGCCCAGGCTCAGGAGGGTTTGGGGATTAAATTGCAGCCCCAAGCCCAGCCCTCGGGAGGGAACTCTCACCCTCCGGAGGGAGTGCCACCGTAAAGCCCCCTGGAAAGAGGGTGAACTGGCCCCCATTGAGGCCCACTGTCCACTGGCCCGGGCAGGAGGCAGGAAGGGGAAGTGCGGAGGAAGTAAACACTGCGGGCTGAAGGGAAGAGTCTAGAATATTTTTACCGCCTGTGGAAACGCATTATTGTTGTTGAGTCACAGACCGTCAGAGTTGAAAGGACTGTCAAAGCCTAGGCATCCGACACCCATTTCGCAAGCGAGGTGGCGGGGACCTGGGCGGCGGGGCACCCCGCCTTCCTCACGGCAGGAAGAGCGGGGCCAGAGACCTAAGCCTCGGCCGCCGGCGTTGAATGTGATCGCTTTCAGATCCACAGGGTCTGTTACCTCCTCCTGTTCTGAAGTGCCTCTTCCTGAGCCCCCCCCCCCTCTCTCTCTCACACACACACACACACACACACTCACACTTGCACACACTGCTTCTCCGTCTTACACGAAGACGGATACACACACTTCACTCTTTTCTAATCCACCAGAGACTGGAAATAATTGCGGTAGTTACTCTTCTATCATTAAGTAATCCCAGCCATCAACCTGCGTAGCTTCTTCTACAGCAGTTCTCCCGGGTGCTAGTGAGTTTGGCAAATGAACGCTTTCTCCGTCATCCTTCTGTGGGGGTCCAGCAATGACCTCACTCACATGCCTGCTTTATCACTCACACTTTATCACACTTTATCAGGTGCTTTTTTTTTTAATGATTTTTATTGATTTCAGAGAGGGAGGAAGAGGGGGGAGAGATAACAATATCAATGATGAGAGGGAATCATTGACTGGCTGCCTCCTGCACGCCTCACACTGGGGACTGAGCCTGCAACCCAGGCATGTGCCCTGACAAGCTGTGACCTCTTGGTTCACAGGTCAACACTCAACCACTGAGCCATGCCCGCGGGGCATCGTATGCTCTTCATTTTTAGTATTTTATTCCTCCTCAGGAGGAGGGAACCGAGGCACTGACAGGCTCAGTGAATCACCCAAACTCTCCGCAGCTGGCAGGCGACAGCAGCGCCCCCCGGAGGCGCCTGCACCCATGCTGGCCGCCACCCAATACAGATGCTCAAGTTCAGGGGCCAAAGAACCGCCTGCAAGGCTGGGAGTTTTTCATTCGGGAAGTCTGGGTGGAGCCCAAGGATTTGCATGTCTGACAGGTTCGCAGGTGATGTGTGGCTCCAGGAACACAGGTGGAGAGCCAGCAGGCCGTGACACCCAGGTGGAGTTTCTCCCCTCTCCCCCCACCCCCACTGCCTCTCAGCATTCTCAGATAAGACTGTCGCACACAGGCAAGGCAAGCATCTGGTGATTAGTTTCCAGAATGTCCAATCTATACCATCTTTACAGGTGAATGCCAGCTACTCAGTGGACCCGTGCTAGGAATTAACTTTTTAGAGTATTAACGATTTTTTCCCCTAGTTAATGCAACACTGATACCTTCTAAAAACCCAGCGCCCAGCTGAGTCCAAGTTTATAAGTTTCCCATTTGCTTGTGCTGGGAAAACTTCTCTTCGTGTTCCGGGGGGCAACAAGGCCTTTGATCCTGCAGAAAAATGACCAAGTAAAACTTGGGGAGACAGCAGGTTCCCAAACCTGGACTTTCTCCCGCCTCAGTGAGTCCTTCTCTGATCTCCATGAGGTGGTGGGACCCCAGCTTGAACTGTAGCATTGGCTTTAATCAAAGTTTGATGAGAATTTGACTTTAAAGCTCTAGCAAAACAGCTTCCTGTTTGTAAGAAAAGTTGCTCAAAAACTCAAAAAGCTTCCTTGGATGTTGACTATTACTGACAAAACAACATCTCTCTCTCTCTCTCTCTCTCTCTCTCTCTCTCTCTCTCTCTCTCTCTCTCTCTCTCGCTTACGAATCCAAAATACCTGGTTAAATTTCACTTTAAAGGCACACAGGGTTAAATATTAAATAGGCAAAGAAATGCTTGACAAGGGGTTCGCTGGGCTCGGAAGGTTTAACAGTAATTGACAATAAAATCAGTGAGGCTTAACTAGCCTCCCTTTGGATCCTGGGACCGTGGCCGCATGGCACACAGGATCTCTGGCACTGGCCTCCCGCCATTGTCCCCTGCTCCTTCCCCCTCTGCCCCCCCTCCCACTGTCCAGGACACGCTTCAGTGGCCGGCCTGCCTGTTCCAAACCCACTTCTTGATTCCACCCACGTCTGCCGAGGACACGATGGCTGTGCCCAGATGGCCTTGGTCATGCACACACTCAGTGAGGAGGGATGAGGTGACCCATGTTGACTCCCAGCGGATTCCCAAGGGCGGCCTCTGGTCCTCCTCTGCAGGGAAATCACTCTTTCCGCCTGGGGACCCATTCCCCCCCTCAGGCCTGGAGGACTGAGGATGGCCGCCTGGAGGGGTGGCAGCGCCTGGGGCGATGGCAAAGACTCACACAGCCATCGGGGGAGGAACTAGCTGAGATCATGGCACACTTGTGCTTCCATTTCCTATGTCCTAATGACCCTGGTCTTATCGACATGAACTGGGCTCTAACTCGCAGAGATTCCGTCATTGTTGCCCTTGCTCATTGTTTGTTGCTGCCAGTTACTGGCCACCAGGATCTGTCCATAGAATCCCTCCCTGCAGGGGTGGTGTTTTCACCCATGTGTCCCACGTGGTCATATGACTGCTTTAGCCAATGAAGTGTGAGGTGGGGTGACTCGGGCCACACCTGGACAGAGGGATGTGGCACCGCCTTGGAGAAGGCTCAGGTTGAGCTGTTCCTTCTATGGGGACCAGGAGGAGGGGACACTTGGACACAAGCTATAGCTAAACCAAAGCTGACTTGTCAGATGGTGAGAAAAACTCCTGTTGCCATGAGCCATTGAATTCTTGGAATTGTCACTGAGACAAAACCCACAGACACCCTTTCTACAGATCTTGTGCCTGACCTACAAGGTGCTGTGCTTAAAGGAACATGTAAAGCCTTCGGCTATCCTTAATGTAAACTCTAAATCCTGGTCTGTGACAAAACGAGGAATAGAAAAAATCCAAATGAACAAGATTCCAACCAGAAGAAGAATGGAGAAAAGAAGTGAAAAGTTGAATACTTTTTCTCATTAACTACTTCTCAACCAATATTTAAATGTACCTTGACAAGACAATTGTTCAGGGCAAGGAATAAGCCTTAGATACCTTGACTCAAATGTTCTGTGGAGCAGGAAGCCTGTGGTTGGGGACGTGGTGGCCGGGCGTCTGTGAGGACAGACAGACACACTGGGGAGTACTGGGGGCCATCATCATCAGGTCGCCGCTGCCTCTTGCTGAGAAGGGGGCACAGGACACTTCACAAAGCAGTTCCAGACGGTGTTAGCTAACCCTGGGAACAAAGTATTTTCTCCACGTTCTAATGAGTACTGCAAGAGTTGGTGCTGCACCATTATCTGCTCAGTGAATTGTGTAGACGGCCTGGGAAATTCACAAGCATGTAAGCTGGAATGTCTGCAAGTTCAGACTCACTACCTTGAAACAAAGGAGCAGAAACAGTCCATGGGGTTAAATAAACAAATATGGTGGCTGCCGGGCAGAGTCTCCAGGTAGCCAGGCGCAATGGCTTCTTCTACTGGAACAGGGGGCACCATCCTGAGGACATGGGAGGCCTGAGGAGGGAGCATGCGTTCTGGGGCCATGAGAGCTGCAGCTGGAAGGACCTTAGCCGGCCTCCAGCTAAGCCTCCCCTGTGCGTGGTGATCACATGTGTTCCCAAAGCAGGTGATGTGCTCAGACGACCGGGACGCTTTACCTACGAAACCTTTAAACACCACACGGTCTGCACCCATTGGAGAGTCATTCCACATGTTTGTACAGGACAGGCTCTGAGAAGTCCTCCAGCACAGACACCTGCCTAACTGGTGTTTATCTGACCTTTCCAGAACTTTAAAGAGTGCCAATCTGGTCTAAACTGTAATTTACGTCTGGGACGGGGGGAGGGGGGAGAATAAAAAAGAGAGCAATTTGTTCAAGGTCCCTGAGTTGATGGCAAGGGTAGGCCATTCTGTAGGCAGACACCTCTCGTGGTTGCCATGAAATATCCGGAGGTGAGCCGTCCATCTCACTGGACACTGAAGGTAGGTCAGCATAGAATAGGGGACCCCCGCGGGCAGCATGGCATCACTTGGGGTTCATTAGAAATGCCACTTCTCGGGCCCAGGCTTCACCTGCTGAATCACAGTGTCTCAGTGCTGCCCAGGAACCTGTCTTACGAGGAACGCAGCCCCCAAAGGCTCCCATGGCTGGTTCGCCTGTGTGCTGGCGTGTGACTTGGCCCGGCCTTCCTTTTGTCCTATTATCCACTGGAAAACCAACAAGTGCTCCTTTCAAAACAAACCCCACATTTTGCATTGCATGGGAGCGTCTAATGATCCAATTTGCCTCTGTGGTCAGATATTTAGTCTTTTCCCTATGTTCCATTCCATTGTTATTGTTTTGAATTCCATAAGTCCCTTTCCATTTCTAAATGTGGTTTGCATAGTTATACCCTTTCCTCCTCAACGCAGTCTTTTTTTCTTTTCTTTTCTTTTTTTTTTTTACATTCCATAGAACATCAACCTTTCTCCACTCCGCAGAGACAAGTTTCAACACATACCGGGTTCAACGGGAGATTCATTTTCCATTTTCCATGGCAAAGAATCTGAGCACCGGGATAAGTCAGAGGTATCATTTGCCGAATGTGCTTGCAAAGACAGTTTAATTTCAGGCCCTTTATTTGCAAGAGAGCTGGCTAACCCAAATAAAACATTATCCATCTGTCTGTTGTTACGAGTGACCAACTTCAGCTGCACGTTATTACTTAATAGCAGCTAACTTTCCTATAGAGTAAGCGCAGCAGCTGAAGGGAGAATGGAAATTTCCTTTGGTCTGCCCCCCTGCCTCGCCATGCTCCAACATGTGAAGAGATTGGTAACAAGCACTGTCTCCCTGTAATCACAGCAGGGCTCGGGCCTGCATTGTTGGGAGATGACTGGGGAAGCTTATGTCTGAGGCGAGGAGAGAAGCCCAGGGCGAGCGGACTGCCTTAGCTTCCCGGAGGTGCTGCCCCCATCTTCTCGGCAGAGAAGAGGCTCCTGGGATTTTGTCTGCATTAGTTCAAAGGCAGCACAGACAAGACAGTCCCGTCCCCATAAGGAGAAAGAAGCGCAGAGCGTTGAGTCCTTCTGGTGTGACCTGAAGTGAGTGAGAGTGGAAGGCATCTGCTTTTGCAGACAGTACTGGTGGGAAAAGATTACTTGTATTGATTTCAGAGATGAAGGGAGGGAGAGATAGAAACATCAGTGATGAGAGAGAATCATGGATCGGCTGCTTGCTGCACGTCCCACACTGGGGATCAAGCCCACAACCCAAGCCTGTGCCCCAACTGGGAATGGAAGCGTGACCTCCTGGTTCATAGGTCAATACTCAACCACTGAGCCAAGCCAGCCAAGCCTGGCAGAGAAGGATTTCATTCGGTGTATTTCATCCACTTCATGAAACCTCACACTTGTCTCAGTTGGAGCATGAGAAAAGGAAGAAAAGAACGGGAGCAAGCAAAGGTGCCACTTGCTCTCGTCGTTGTCCTAGAACGATGGGCAGATCCTGGGTTTTTTATAAGGTGTTTCTCAAGGTGATTTCCCCCTACATAAACTTCTCACTCACTAAGACAGTGAATGCACCGCCCTTAACTACTCATGTCTTTCTCTGTCTCGCATTATAATATTTTTACGATGTAAAGGCATGGAGATAGAGAAAGAGAATCACATTATGAATGTACATGCTGACTTCAGGCGGGCTTAGTTTACTGGCTTCATTCTGACCACCTATCCTTCTGTTTAAAGTGAATTTGGAACTGTTGGTCTCTGATGGATGATTAACGGCCTTAGGTGTGACTCACCTGTGTAAGAGGGTGGAATTCTTCTCCTTGGTGATTTCCATGCTCATTATGATCATGATTGGAATCTCATTCCAGAAAAAGGCAAGTACGACTTTTGCTAGGCTTGGGACTGAGTTATTTAACAACGGGAGGTTTCTGAAGGTTTTGAAATTCCCTCTCACTGTCAGTCTAATCGTTGACCACATTGCTCTGATATGGAAACTGGATAACACAGGGTCTCCGGGCAACACAGCTAATACCAACATTTTTGGATTGCAGTTCGTTTACTTTAGGAACTGGCAGTATTTCCGAATTGTGTGCTTGTCCCAAAGTTGAAAACATAGACGCTGTGAGTGGTGAGTGATAATAAGGAAATTTCACATGTCAAAATACTTCCCTTCACATTCACTCAGAACCTGAGCCCTCTAGAGAAGCAGTGCCCATCGGTAAACAGTGTGAGAAAACATGTCCTGACCATCAGTGGTTAATCAGCTTGAGCACTGTTGGCCTAACTATGGTGTTTTTAGGGCTGTTGGGTAAAATACAAGATGTCCTGCCCTGGCCGGTTTGGCTCAGTGGATAGAGTGTCAGCTTACGTCGATCAAGGGCACGTACCTTGGTTGTGGGCACATCCCCAATAGGAGATGTGCAGGAGGCAGCTGATCGATGTTTCTAACTCTATCTCTCTCCCTTCCTCTCTGTAAATATATATATATATATATATATATATATATATATATATATATATATATATATATTTTTTTTTTTTTTTTTTTTTTTTTAAATACAAGATATCCAGTTAAAACTAAATTTCAGATGGACAACAGCTAATTGTTTAGTACCAGGATGGGATATAAACATGCACTAGGCATTATTCGGTGTCTGTCTGAAACCCACCAGCGGCTCTCTCTAGAGACAGGCCTAGGCGCTGAGGCCAGAGCCATTCCGTGAAGGGCTCAGGGGCTCCATGAGGACCATTGCCTTCCTCCCAGGGGAAGGAGCACCTCAGGGTTTCAGTCACATCAGAGAGAGGCTCAGACTTGCTTTTTTGTTTGTGTTGTTAATCCTCACCTGAGGATGTTTTTCCATTGATTTTTAGAGAGTGGAAGGAGAAGGGAAAGACAGAGAAACATGGATGTGAAAGAGACACATCGATTGGTTGCCTCCTGCATGCACCCCAATCAGGGTCAGGGATCGAGCCTACAATCAAGCTATACGCCCTTGACGGGAATCAAACCCGGGGCCCACGGGCCAATGTTATACCTACTGAGCCAAACCGGCCAGGCCAGACTTGCTTTTCAAAGTCATTACTTTGACCCAGCATGGGGAGTGGGTAGGAAAGACACAAGCATAAATGCTGAGAGTCTGGTGAACTGGGGCTTTCAGGGCCCCCTAAAATGCTGCTGCCTGGACAAGGGCGGTGCTAGCAGATCAAAGAAGCGAGGACCCCATTGCAGGTGGGCTCAAAGGGCAACTCTGTGTGAGCAGGGACAGGAGAGAGTGGGGGGAGGGTGGACAGGCAGACGAGGTCCTAAAGCTGATTCTTGACATCCCTGCCTGAAAATGAGGTGACGGAGTTTACTGTCTCAGATGGACCTTCCTCTGGAATTCAAAAAGTATTCCTATGTTATCAGATAGCCTAGTTACCCAATGGTTTGCTATCCTATGGGATTGGAGCTCACTTGGGACTTTCTTTTTTTTAAAAAAGAAAATAAGTATATTTTTATTGATTTCAGAGAGGAAGGGAGAGGGAGAGAGAGATAGAAACATCAATGATGAGAGAGAGAGAAGTCCGGGCAGAGAGGCCATCCCAGGGAACTCAGAGCTGTCCAGGTTTCGTGACTGGCGGGGCTCATTTGAAGATATGGGATGTGATGTTCTGGGTCAGAGGGGAATCAGTTCCAATCTAACTGGGGGTGAACGTGGGGTGGGGGAGGGGCACACAGATGTCACTGACTTAAATGACTGAGCTAGAAAAAAAGACTTAGGCTCTATTTGGATTCAGAGCACAAGGACTATCCTTCCATGTTCTGCCTTGAAGAGAAAATGGTTTTACATTCTCAAACTGACCACGTTGATAAGCACTTGGGGTCTCACATACCCCATCTAAGCCAACGCATCCTTCCCTATGTGTGTTTCATATCTCACACAGCTTCCGCACGCTGACCAGCCTCCACAGCGCCCTCAGGGGCCCTCAGCTCTACCTGCCTCCTTAGAACGGGCATCTGATGTGTTGAGCCAAGGTGATCCAAGAGCAGGCTGCAAGGAGGTGATAGCAATAGAATCGTTCAAATGTAGACTCTACTGCATCCTTTTAAATGTTTATATTTTGTGCATATTTTATAATGTACATCCTATGTTAGTACAGCACAAAAAATGTATGCATTGTTCATGTATGTCTCCGTGTGTGTGTGTGTGTGTGTGTGTGTGTGTGTAGGGGGTTGTGAAATTTCGAAGCCATTGCTTTAGGCTAGTGGTTATTAAATTTTAATGTGCAGATTCCATGGGGATCCTATTAGAATGCAGATGTCTGGGTCCAGAGGTCTGGGCTGAGTTCTGAGAAAGTACACTTCCAGCCGGCGCCCAGGTGATGGAGCTGAGGCTGGAGGAGGCTGCCCTGTGGGTGGCATCAGCCTTTTGCACCAGGGCTGCTCATGGAACTATAGCACAGAACACAGAAGACAGAGTCCGTGACGGGCCTCATCACTCCCACCTTGACCATGGGGAAGCACCCCTGCAGATGCTGGGAGAAGGCACCTCCCTCATTCCAAGAAGAGGAAGGTGTGGAGGCCAGGGAGGCTGGTTTCTCTCACAGAACTCGGCCGAGAAGGGGCCTCTCAGAAGCTTGCTGGGCACATGGCTTTACCTATGGGAGAAAGTTCAAGGTCACTAGCGGACCTTATAACGTTTTTAAAAGCACTGTTTATAAATCACCATACAGCATTACAAACAGCCCTGCAGACAGCAGTTCTTTTCCAGTGTTTGGCTTCTATCTGGAAAGTTCCTTTATGAAAAGCATAGCTGGAAACCAAGGTCTTGGCCACTCCTGATTGTCAAAGGTCCTGTGATGCTAATGCTAAGGGGAAGGGGCTAAGTCGGGAGTTACTGGCTAATAAGAGCTACCTCCAAACACTCTCACCCTGATGGGCCACTGAGGTTGGGAGTCAATGGGTTTCAAATGCTCCTTGACCAAAGAAGAGGAGAAAAATGAAGCGCACACACACACACATAATGCAGCCAAGCAGGACTTGGTCTCTAACCACCTTGATATCCAAGCAAGACCACATGTTCATGTTTAACACACACAATGGAGTGGTTGGGAACCCATAGTCTAGGCTTCCTGAAGCTGTGGGAGTGGGGACAGAGAGTGTGTCTAGTGAGAGCAATAGTTTGGAATATGGAGGTTTGGAAAAGTGCCATGTAAAGAACTGGAAGAAGAGGAAGTGTCTAAAATGGTGCTGAGAAGGAGCCAGAAAAGTCACTGGGAGGAGACCATAGCAATAGTAAGAAATGCTGTGAAGTGCTGAAGAAGATGAGGAATAAAATGTGCCCACTGGCTGAGCTGCTAGTGATTCCGGTGGAATGTGTGAAGACACTCTCCCCTGGGCTGAAGAGTCATCACACAGCCAACGAGGACATGGAAGAATGTGGCGTTTCTTTCCTCCTCAAAGATTTTCCCACATCCACTGATTCTGTTCCCCAAGGTGCAAAGTCAGTGCTCCCTGACAGGGAGTCAGCATTGTGCCACACCGCTTGCAACCCTTTTTTTTTTTTAATATATATTTTATTGATTTTTTTAGAGAGGAAAGGAGAGAGATAGAGAGCTAGAAACATCGATGAGAGAGAAACATCGAACAGCTGCTTCTTGCACACTCCCCACTGGGGATGTGCCCGCAACCAAGGTACATGTCCTCGACCAGAATCGAACCCAGGACCTTTCAGTCCACACACCGACGCTCTACCACTGAGCCAAACCGGTTTCGGCACCACTTGCAACCCTTGACCATGGCCACATGGACTTCAATCTTATCACCTAGATAATCCTTGTTTCCATCCCTGCTCCCCTGCCCTTTCATCACCTGCTCATCTCTGGCTTTTTCTTGACCTCCTTCCCAACTTACTGCCTTTTAAAGCAAATATCTCTACATGCAAATATAACCTTTCAAAAGTCTATGTTTCTTCCCACAGCAATCTCTTCCTGCTCTAGGCTCTTTTAGGACCCCCAACTCTCCTTTACCACTAACATGTAGCGTCACCATGCCTAGCGCAGCATCATGATTTTCTCTCAATGTACCTGTTTTCCCTGACACTTGGCAAGTTCTTTGAGGGCAGGGTTGGGGCCATCTCTGTATCCACAGTAACACAATTCCTGGCATTCAATAGGTATTCAAAAAAAAGTTGTAATGACTCATACTCATCACTCTAAAACGAGTCAACAGAATAATAAAAAATGGACTAATAATCAATCCATAAATTAAAATATGTGAGTGGTTTCAGCACATTTATCATTACATGTGAAGTTTTCTAAATTGCCTCTTTGGAGTGATTTATAATATTTACACATTGTTCTATCTCATGGGAAACGAGTTTCCATAGTGTTGAAATCCCCTGGGCTAAGGAACCCTTCTTTTATCTGCCTGATGCAGGCACTCCCAGAAGCGGGACTAACCCTGTCACTCAGTCAATGACGCCTGCTGTGGTTCACGAGTGCCCTCCCAGAGTACATGTTCAGATCTGGCTTTCCCCACAAGGAGAGTGTATTTCTTATGGGGTGATGAATCAGACCTGGAGTTGCTGGGAGGACTGAAGATTTCCAATGGAGAAGCAGAGTTACTTTCACAGGTGCACTGGCTCCTTGGTCCTGTTGATATCCATTCATTGGGGACCATCTTAGCAGCTTTCTTGACCACATCTTTTAGAAGCCCAAGGGCTTAATTTGAAAATCATGGCGCAGTCAAGAGGGAAAGAGGGAAGCCATGCATCTGTTGAGTATATAGATGTTTCTGCTTATCCTCCCCTGTCCACCATTCGACAGAAAACCACCCATCGAACTCTAGGATTTATTTATTAAAATCGAAGGGGCTATGTTTATTGATCACCTTCTCATTTAGGAGGAAGTAAATCTAGTTTCTAATATGTTCTTCATATCACTATTAAAAAAAACATTGAACAATGTTAGAGGGGAATTATAAAACTCAGACATAGCTTAGAATGTAAATGACGACATGGGTCTTTGACCCTGAGTGGAATACCCTTCTGCCCTGGCCGGGCACTGAACTATGGCACTATTTTCTTGGAGGTGCCACTCTTCTCCAATGACCACTAATCTAAAACCTACCATTCATTGACCCAATTATTCAGCAAACATGTAATACTATTATATGAAAGATGTGGTCTTTGAAACACATAAAGGTGAGTGAATGGTACATGGTTCTAGCCCTCAAAAATATATTATTCAATAGAAGAAATTACATTTATATAAATTGTTATGACACCAAGCAGAATAGAATCCTTCATGTCTAAGCCCTGTCTCATGAACACTTCTATACTTCTACCATAAAACGTATGTTATTCGTTGGTTCATGTGTTTTTCTCATTCTAAATACTCTAAAAGTATTAAGGCAGGGACCTTGTCTTATTCTACTCTATATGGCTGTATACAGCAGTCTTCTTGACTCACATGCATGAATGATATTTATAGAAACATACTAAGGATTTCCTGGAGAAGGATAGGTTTTTTTTTCAACTAGAAGAATCGCAGAAGTTTTCAAGCATTCTGCTGGGAAGGAGGAATGAGGCGGAGGGAGGGGAGGAGGATTTCTTGCATGGGGAATTGCCTATAAAATATGGGATGGTGGTAATGGACTTTCCTGAGTACCCATTTGATGCAGTCAGAGGGTACACCAATGACTCTCAAACATGGCTACATAAGGAAACACCTGGGAAGATTTTCATCTCCCATCCAAGTACTAACCAGGCCTGACCCTGCTTAGCTTCTGAGATCAGACGAGATCGGGCGAATTCAGGGTGGTATGGCCGTAGACCTGGGAAGATTTTCAAATGCCCAAGTGCTATGGCTCCACCAAAGGCCAATTGAATCAGAATCTCTCATGGGGGCAAGGAGAGGGATATATGAGGAGGAGCCGGAGTTTTGCAAATTCTTAAATCTCTCCATTTGTTTCAACTGTGTATCCATGGTTGAGAATCACAATGGTACTTCAAGAAAGTTAGTATTGCCGGGACCGGTTTGGCTCAATGGATAGAGCGTCGGCTTGGGGACTGAAAGGTCCCGGGTTCGATTCCGGTCAAAGGCATGTACCTTGGTTGCGGGCATATCCCCAGTAGGGGGTGTGCAAGAGGCAGCTGATCGATGACTCTCTCTCATCGATGTTTCTAACTCTCTATCTCTCTCCCTTCCTCTCTGTATAAAATCAATAAAATATATTTTAAAAAAAAAAAAAAAAAAAAAAAAAAAAAGAAAGTTAGTATGAGGCCAGACTGGAGGTTAGGCTGGTGGTAGATTTCAAAAGGCCATGGAGGTTAAACTGAAAAGTTGGATCTTCCAACAGGCCAGACACAGCCAGGTTCAGCTAGCCAGGTAGATTGAGACAGTAGCTATAGAGAGATGACTTAGGAGGCTCTTGCATTGGTCCAAGCAATGCATGAACTCAGGAGCATCACTGCTTTGGGTTACCAACAGGTGGAATTTGTGCCCCTATGAGATGTGAAGTGGTGAAGGGGGAACTGGAGCTGGAAGGACCAAGGGGTTTGGTGCCTGGATGAAGAGGAAGCCTTGAATGATAAGGAGAGGGCATTGAAGGCATCATGATGATGTTGACTCTGAGCTTGCTTGCATTGAGGTGTCTGTATCTAGGAAGTAAATCTGGGGCTAGTCGTGAAGATTTGGGAGACATTGCACAAGAGGTAGAAGTTGACCAAATATAAGTCAATGAGACTTGCAAAAAAGAAAAATATGAAACGCAGAAGGCAGCTGAGAGCAGATTGTTGGAGACTGCCTGGATTGAAGAGGAGAGAGGACTTCCCAGAAAAGAAGCTGGAGAAAGAGTAGCAGGTGGCTGAACAGCTATGCCAGTTCCTCAGAGGGGCAACTAAGGAGGCAAGATTTCAAAAAAGGGGACGTGACGCTGAGGTCCAAGATTTGAGGGTGGACAAGAGGGCACTGGTTTTCCAGGGGTGGGTGTAAATCTTAGAAAGGAAAGGGACACCTACTTCCCTCAGACAGGAGGGAAAGAGAAGTGGTATGTCCACTGCATGTGTATATATTCAACATAGGTTCCATTTGTGGAGAGGAGGAGAAAGGGTATGAAAAAATGAACAGTAGAGGATGAGAATTGAGGAACTGAGTTCTTAGTCCAGGGAATGGTGGTCACTTGGTGTAAGAGGAACAGGCTAAAGGATGGAAAACAAAGGTGGGTTAGTTCTGGAGTAGCATGTAGGGTTGGTAATTAAGAGATGAAGAAAGGAGTTCAGCCAGCTGTAAGGCCCCTAACAGACTCCCAGGCAGGAACTGGTATCTTTGGTCACCCCTATGGTCTCCTTGCCATGGCTGAACAGCCTGCGAACACTGCTGGGGTATGGAAGAGGTAGGCTGCCCAGAGCTGAGGATTGGTAAGGCCTCTGTGATAATAGGCTACCAGGACTGGGGCTTACAAATACTACATTAGAAACATAAACATTTGAAAAACCACAGAATGTAAATGCTCAAGGTCGAGCACACTCATCAGCTCATGGAGTCCGTATCGTAATTGAGCACATTAAGAAGCCTACTAGTTCTGCTATCTAGTTTTAGAAGAGCTGTAATTTAGTATCGCTAGGTATCCATTACTCCTGTTTTCCTCATCTGTAAAATGAGAGGTTTGGGCAGAATGACCTCAAATTTCTCTTCCAGGATGGCCCATGGCGAATATTTGAGCGCACGTGAGAGTCTGAGAGTTAATTTACTTGTTTAGCATTCTCATCGAATGTTTAACTATCAGTGTCCAGCATTCAGCTTCAGAGCTAATACAGCTCGGTGAGGTTAGTGAACAAAGCCCCTAGTTCTGTGAGCCACCCTGGGTTTCAAATGGATTGTCCTGTGAAAATGTACAACCTAAATTTTGGTGGCAGAAATCTCAAGTGCTATGGGTAATCAAATAAGATAGTTGATAGAACATTGAAACAGATTGGCTAAAATGATTAGAGATGAATATGTTTTTATATGCAAGCTGGGGAAATTGCTTTGTGGATATTGGGAGAAAAGGGAGAGATGTTGGTTAAAGGATATCGAAGGAGGAGGAGGAAGAAGAGAAGAAGGAGGAGGAGAAAGAGAAGGAGGAGGAGGAGAAAGAGAAAGAGGAGGAGGAGGAGAAAGAGGAGGAGGAGGAAGAAGAAGAGAAGGGGAAGAAGGAGAGGAGAAGGGGGAGGAGAAGAAGAAGAAGAAGAAGAAGAAGAAGAAGAAGAAGAAGAAGAAGAAGAAGAAGAAGAAGAAGGGGAAATAAGAAGAAGGAATGAAGAAGGAAGCAGGAGTCCGCTCAGGAAGTAACCCCCCTCCAGACAGCAGCCGAACAAACGCAACAGCCCTCCAGCCAACCCTAAAAACAGAAAGAAGCCCGAAAGCCAAAAAAAACAAAAAACGAACGAAAGCCTCTGTTTTCTCCATAGCCCGGCTCTTTTTCCCCTATTAGGGTGACCATAGCTAGGGTTATTCAAGAAAGTTACATAAATGAGACTCACCTCACAGAGCTAGGATTAATTTAGAGTAATATAAGTGGAATCTCTCTCATCACTCTCAACAATTGTGAATAAGAACTAACCAGGTCTTGAGTAGATCCTGAAAACCTAAGGTGAAATGTGGTAGACTAGACAGTGTAGAGGTAACTGGCCAGCTGCTATTGTTTAACGGTTTAAGAATCGCCATCACTTCTCACATGCAATGAGACTTGTGGATAACACAAAATCTTGGAAGAAACACACCTAAGAACCTGTGCTTTTCCAGACAGCTGGCTTGTTAGACATCTTCTCATGGAAATCCAGGTCTTTAAGACTGGAAGCTCTGCACTCCCTCCGCAAGTTACTTATTTGTAAATTTAATCTGAACGCATAGCTAATTGCTACTTTTAGAAGCATGCTTGAGGCTTTATTATTAGCTTCACAGCCAAAGCCTTTGTTTATGGTACAGTGCTAATCACTTGTTTTCCTTACATAGTTAATGCCATATTGGCAATCTCACGTGGGACTGCTTGATGGTTTTTTTAGTAGTTTCACAACTCACAGCTTTCTTCAAATCTGTAAGATATGCACTGGTTGAAATTAAAGAATGGAGAGTGGGAAAAACGTTATGCCTGAGGTCAAGATGCCTCACTTTGGTTGAACCTTCCAGAAAGACCAGATCCTCTGAGGTTCGAGTGCTTTGATTTTCCCTTTCCTAGTTGATCAGTAGGATTCACTCCACTCAAGGGGTCTTACCTTGAGTCCAGGTGTTGGGTCCATTTCAGCTGAAGACCCCAGAGATCCGGGGAAGTGCCGAAGGGCCTGGCTCTCTAGGGAGGACGCTGGGAGGGCGTGAGTGCAAATCATACCTAGGAGCTACTGCTTAGGTGACAGCTGAGGGAGTGGGCAGGAACAGCCCTCCACACCAGGAGGTGGGAGCTGGGCAGTGAGTAACTCACCCACCTCCAGGGCAGAGGTCCTGGGACCAGGGCTTGCCGCATGGGTGTTTGATCTTAATGGGTGAGAGGCAGCTCCCTGGCATGGAAAGGTGTGTATAGCGATACAACTCCAGTTTTTTCTAAAGTTATTTGACAACCAATCCTGCTAGCAGAGCCACCACCCAGGCTTGGAAGGGAACACAATGTTCTGTCCCTTATCAGAGGTGCCGGGGCCATGAGGAATTCTCTCTCTTTCTCCCTTTTCTCTGGTGGGAAGGATCGCATCCAGCCTCACACGTCAGCAGTTCTCAGAGCTGCATGGGCCTCACACATTCTGCCAGGAGCCCCACTGAGTGCTAGGTCACAGGTTTTGTGGTGTGTGTGTTTTTATAGAACACTAGGCCCCTTGTGGTGGGTAATCATTATAAACAAGTGGTTATTGCAGACTTGTAGTATCACGCTGAGTGAAACAAGTCAGACGGAAGGGATGAGAACCATATGATTTCACGCACATGTGGGATGTAAGTAACAAAAAGCAGCACAAACAAGCAGAAGACTCATAGACACAGACAGCAGTATGGCGGTTACCGGAGGGGAAGGGCGTCAACTCTAGGGTGATGACAGGAGCCAACTTCGGGTGGTGAGCACACAAGGTAACACACAGAGCACGGACTGTAGGAATGTGCACCTGAAACGTCTATAATGTTATCAAACAATGCTGCCCCAATAACGTTCTCTTTAAAAAACCAATAGACCCCCAACCTAACCCTGTCTAAAACCATATTGGTGGATACGCATCATTATACACCTAGACCAGTGGTCAGCAAACTGCAGCTCATGAGCCACATGTGGCTCTTTCGCCCCTTGAGTTTTTAGCAAAGGCCAGCTTAGGAGTACCCCGATTAAGTTAATAACAATGTACCTCCCTATATAGTTTAAGTTTAAAAAAATTGGCTCTCCAAAGAAATTTCAATCGTCCTGTTGATATGGCTCTGTTGACTGAGTTTGCCGACCACTGGTCTAGAGAAGTGAAATTCAGGGAGGACGTGGTCTGGCTCCATGGGGAAGGGAAAGCCGAGCTTAGCGGGTCTTGAGGGGAGAAGGAGACTGAGAGGGAAAGGTAAGGAATGATGGCTTCCATGAATAAGACCACACACGCAAAGGCAACAAGGAGGGGACGAATCCGGACCAAGTGGCGGGCGGGGCTGATAGGGAAGAGCAGAAGGAGGTGGGAAACCGAGGTCAAGTGATGGAGAGCCTTGGCGGTCTGCCGTTCTGGCACAGAGCTGGAGACCTGGTGGATGTACATGCCAACGAGGCCCTCAGACCCAGAGAAGCCTGCCACTAATTGCAAAGGTCCCCACGTCCCAGCACACCTGGGGCTCTGTTGGTGCCAAACTTACTCCCCGATTTCCGAGAGCCGTGGGTTCTTTCCATACCAGCCCGCGCAGTGTGCACTCAATCTCCAGTTTACGGGGATTTCTCACACACCCGTATACGTTTTCCACTGGAGTCTGTGCTTTTTCCTAGACCCACCCGAATTCCAGAGCATGGTTCACTTGCATGCCAAGTTCCCAGTCTTTCTCTCGGTCACTCTCCTCTCCTTACAAAACCGAGGAGAAAGTTCCCATTGTGATGCTGCTACGGGTTTTTACCAGCGGAGAGCGGACCTCCAGAAGATAATTACGGGGTGGTTTGTGCTTCGGTTTCTGTGGAGAGCGGCAGTCCTGTCTAGAGGCAAAGCCAGAAAATGAGTTTGTCCAAATCTCAACTTTTGTTTATTAAAGTTTGAGTAGCTATGGGGGCCTGATCCCTTTTATACATTAGAAAGAATTAAAACTATGGGTTAAGGTTCTTGTAAGGGCGGTGAGTTATTCTGGAATTCTGAGTTTCTTTATAGTAAAAAGCAATAACAACACAACAGCCACACACACACACACACACACACAAAACTGTAAGAGGGGAAAGTAGGATCGTTTGGGGTGACTTTGAGAATTCTTGTTCCCCGTGGATTCATAGAAGGCAGAAGCAGCTTCCCCACACATTCCCGGAAATCATCTCTTTTGACGCTCCCATTGTCCCCGTGGGTGGAGGGGCTCCAGGTTCACAGATGAGAAACTGAGCAGCGAGGTGGCTTGTGGGAGTATCACGCAGCCTGGGAGTGAGCCCAACCCAGGCTTTCACATCTAAGTGTAACTTCTATTTTATTTTTTTCACCAGCTGTGTTAAGGAAAGCCTGTGTTGAGCTGGGGTGGGGGAAACTGTGAGGATTTGGTGCAGGAGGGTGGAGGCCCGCAGGAGGGGGGAGTTGAGGAGAAGGAGCCAACCTCTGCTGATCTTTCCCACCTGCCCTGCAGAGCGCTATGACCCTGGGCTCAGCTCCTCACCCAAGCGTGCTGTGGCCAGGAGCTCGCACACCTGGACTTACCTCCAGGAATGTCAGGGCTTTTTCTCGCTGCCTTCTCATCTTTTTATTTAAAAATACATTTCTATTGATTTCAGAGAGAAAGGGAGAGGGAGAAGGAGAATTAGAAATATCAACGATGAAAGAGAATCATTGACCTGCTGCATTCTGCTCATCCCACACTGGGGAGCAAACCCACAACCCAGGCATGTGCCCTTGATTGGAATCAAACCCAGGACCCTTCAGTCCATAAGCTGACGCTCTATCCACTGAGCCAAACCAGCTAGGGCTTCCTTTTCCTTTCTTTTCTTTTTTTCTGTAGGGCTTCGAGAATTCTTATCAGGTATTTATATTCTCCTATCCAGAAGTTTTCAAAACATTAATTATTTGACGTTTTGCTAAGAGAATTAGGCTGAAAATCTTTTAACCCACCTCCATGGTTTTCCAAATGCCTGGACGTTAGCAGGTTAGTTTTGCTGGCATTTAACGTGGTCCCAGGACGCACTGGGAAACCAGGGGTGGTCTCAGCACAGCACACTTTCCCCGGGGGCCAAGGCCGGCAGCCGCGAGCTGCTCCAGCAGAACTGGCGTCATTTGCTCATTCAGGGTCCATGGTGTGACAACCTTTGTCAGATCCTGTTTGTGTTCAAAAGGTCGCCACGTTTATGAAAGGCTGCGCTGGAAAGTCTTGCTTTAATCATTGCAGTAATTAGCAAATTTGGACACTGCATTACCTTCCCCCTTTTATTGGAAACACTTTCAAGTATGGGCTTGTGGTTAATCCAGAGCGACTCAGAACACCAAAGCACGTAACTTGTCAAATCCGGTGTTTGCCCAGTTCTCAGTTGCTGGAATCTTCCTTTCGTGCTAAGCTTACACTTTCAAAATCATGATAAATGTTAATCCATTGAATAACTTGATTTCCGTCAAGGAGGGAAGGGATGGATTAGCCACACTTAGAACAGGAACTAGAGGAAAAGAAAATTTGCCACTATCAGGCGAGAAGGGGCCTCCCCTCAGACGTCTGGGGACTCTGGTCTGCCAGCCAAACAACAATCCCTCCATCCCTCTGACTCCTCCCTGACTCCTCCCTGGGAGCGGGAGCTGGGAGGGGGTACCGAGCCCTCCTGCACCATATTTCCTCTTTCATTTCAGACTCCCCTCAGCTCCGCTCCTTCACCTCCCAAGCGCTTCTCCCCTTCTCCGATTCATGGGTCAAGCTGGTACTCTTGGTAACAAGGTTTTACTCAGAAAATGCTCGCTCTTGGCTGCAAGTGGGTCAGAAGACTCTTCAGTCTCCTCTCTGCTTCTCTGATGATTCGTTGTCTCTCTGCTTGATGGGCGGTTCCTCTTCCTCCTTCCCCGCCCCTCACAATGATGTTCCCCAGAGTCTTCACTCGTTCTCCTGTTTCTCCTTATGCTCTCTCAGCACCTACACCCCACCTGGCCCTCCTGCCCAGGCCTGACCCATCACTTCACCACCGCTCACCAGGAGCGCCTGCTCTGAGATCCAATCTGTGTCTCCACCCCTCCCTCCCACCTGGGTCCCCTCTCCTGGACAACTGCCCGGAACTCACGTGTCCCGACGGGCCTCATACTGTGCTCCCTCAGTCCTGTCACTTCTCCAAAGTTTCTGTTCCAAATGCTGGCATCCTGGAGGTCCCCCTGCCTACCTTCAACCCCTGCTCTCCCGCCCAGTCCAGTGTCAGCCTGGAGGGTCGCCTTCTCCATGCTGCTGGCAGGATGTCTCCCTCCCCTTCCCACAGCCTCTGCTCCGCCCTGGGGCTCCAGTCCTTTGACCTAGCCTCTCCAAGTGTCCTCCCTAGCCCCTTGGCCGCCATAGCCAGATTGATTGTCTAACGTGCAGCTCACAACCCCAGACACCCGTAACCTTCAGTGAACCCCAAACGTCCTTCCCAGGCAGCCTGCCCTTAACACCTAGGGTGTGGCATTTAGTGACTAAGGAGCTCGCTTCCAAGTCCAGCTTCACCTGCCCCTGAAGCCTGTGACCCCAAGCGAGTAACTTTGCCTCTGCTCCCTGCTGCCCTCGTCTCTAAGCCAAGGCCGATAGGAATGCCTACAGGATGGGCGGTTACTGTGTGGATTGGGTGAGCACTCAGCAGTGTGACCATCACAACAATTGCCATCTCTCTCCCCTCCATCCCTGCAGCAGACAGCCCTCGGCACGCAGGGGCCTCCCTGCGCTTGTCCTCTGGTGCACCCCGTGCCTGCGTCCCCGGGCCTCTGATGGCTTCTCCTCCCAGGATGACTGCATCCCGCTCACTGCTCAAGGCACTCGCTAATCTGCAATGCCCTCTTGACTGTCCCGAATGGATCTGGTCTTTCCTTCTGGTTTAATTTTATCATTTTATCCTCTGAGGGTTAGGATGTAGCTATCCAAATTCTGATGGGAGTTGATTAAAAACCTCATTAAATACACACCCAGGGATATGCTTTTATTGATTTTGAGAGAGAGAGAGAGAGAGAGAGAGAGAGAGAGAGAGAGAGAGAGACATTGATCCACTTCATTGACAGTTGCCTCTTTATGCGCCCCAACCAGTAATCAAACTCAAAACCTGGGTAGGTGCCCTGCCCGGGAATTGAACCCAAAACCTTTTGGTACACGGGACGACGCTCCAACTTCCTGAGCCACCGGGCCAGGACTGGGCTTTCCTGCTTGACAGTCCCCAGCTGTCTGTGAAGCCCTCGTGGCACTGTCCTCGCGTTCTCCTGGCCAGAGCTATTCCTGTGCTAGAGAAGTGTTCACTGCGTGTCCTGCTCCATTCCCACCCCCTCCTCCCAGCAGCAGACGGAGGTGCCAGGATCAAGGACTGGCTTCTCCACATGTGTCTCCTGGAAATTGCTGAGGGCTAGAATGTAGCTACCCAAATCCTGATGGGAGTTGATTTAAAACCTCATTAAATGCACATTTCTACCAACTATGGGGCTAGTAAGTCATAGGCTGCTCTTTTAGATACTGAAAGCTAAGCCAAGTGCTGTTTGAGAACCCTCCTTGGATATTGGGCTAGACACGTTAATATCCATCGTTATGAGTTTTATGCTTACATATACATGCCCTCGTACAGCCTTCAGCTCTGGAACCCCATGCACTGGCAGTTTCCAGGTGGATGAAATGCACGTGATTGTAATCATGGAAAAGTGGCTCTTGTGTTAGTCCTATAATATTTCATCTTTAAAATGGGCAAATCTTAGAAAATGCTCTTCAGCTTACAATTTAAAACACATTGAGAGCCAGATATCCTTAATGCCACAGGTATGCTAATATAGACAGTGTCTAAACATAGCATTCAAGGGAGACTGAAATCATGTGAATTCCCTTGACTCCTGGCTGGGCCACACCATGGATCACATCATCCCTCCCACCACCAGACTGCAGCACATTCCTCCTTTCTTTCCCAAGATCCTTGAGTGCA